CCACCAACTGTTACCTGACAGCAAATTCTCAAATTCTCAGAAAATTTTGAGGTGTTTTCCTCATTTAATTTCTCAAGACTTGCTTCCTTCAACACTCTTTTGAACATTCCCACAAACCATTCAGCTTGTCCGTTATACTGAAGTCATAACCTTTTCAATGGAGAACATCTTACAAAAGTCTTGGAATTCTTTACCTGTGAATTGAGTTCCGTTATCAGAGACTATGGTATCTGGTATGCTATATCTCACAAACAGTTTGTGCAAGAAATTCAGTCACTGAGGATGTTAGCTTTCTGCACTTATAAATTTTGGCCATTTTGTGAAACTATGAACTACCACAAGACAATGTGATCAATTGATAGGACCTGCAAAATCTATATGCAGTCTTGACCATGTGTTGTGGAGTGATTTCACAGTGGAGGCTTGTATTTGTACTAAGTCGGTCCTAAAATAGGTTCAACGTACAAAACGTTAGGACCTTGATATAATAGGTATAACGCAGAATAATCTAGTTGTGGTCACTGATACTTTAGTATTTCGACTAACTGTCGTCCGGCATCGACTGACTGACTCACTGAGTGACTCCCTCGTTACTCTTACTACTTATTATAGGTGGGAGAGTCTATTAACTATAGAATAGGTGTGTTCCACTATAACACCATGATGTGTCTATCTTTGGCCAAGAACATATCTGGAGTCATTTCTGTTATTCTAAACCTTTCACATTCTTTGTTGACGATACCAGCATATGTGACATCTTTGTCTACTTTTTTGGCTAGATTCAAGCACCTCCAACGAGCATTAAATAGGGGCCTCTTGTCACTGAAGATTTTCTTCTGAATATGTACAGTGTTTTCAAACCTGATTTCACCTGGTTTTCTTGGTAAAATGTAATTGCAGTATTTTTCATTCTCTATCAGAGCTATTTTCCTCAACAACAACCTCGTTTTTGCCTTGTCTTCTGAATCTCTGTAATCCTGACTGAATATTTGTTCATATCTACGAAAATACGCAGAAAAAGTCAGTCCCACATCAGGATCATATATAAATTCTGCTATGTTGTTTTGGGTAGCATCTGGTGTAAGAGACATTGAAAAATTTTTTTCTTCAGAATTATATCCAACAATTCCTGTTATTGTTTTTGTAGTTCTAGCAACTTTTGATTTTTCTGTTGTTGTTGTTTCTGGTGTTGAATTTCAACTACGGAAGTCAAAATTTTCTCCATATTTACAAGAATATGATTTTTTTTTTTCCCTAACTGACGAGGTTAAAATTCTTGTGACTCTAATTACAACTCATCACAACATTCCTTGTTACTGTTGTAAGAGTTCCAAATCCTCTTCACAAAGGTTATAAATCCTGAATTTTAAATCCTTCATTACCATTATTCTATTGCTATTTCTATAATACACCCTTACTTATATAACGTACTTCATATAGGGATACTCTATACGTAATGCTTTTGTTACTTGCTGTGACGCATGTATAGTTAGTCTGGAAACTGACTCCAAATGGTTACTTGTCTTACCTCTGACCTGGAGTTCTTTATAGTAATGAACTAGTTCATATAATCATTGATAGTGTACTATTTACTCCACAACACTTCCTCAGGTGTATATTGATTCAGGTAACCTACAGGGAATTCTGAATTGAATCCTTTTATTTTATCTATGTTGGTAGGCTGTTATCGTTCCCTTGTTCTATGAGACAATGGCCTAATGGATTAAAGCATTGGCTTGTGAATTTGGTGACATAGTGTTTGAGATTTCAATCTCTGGATCGGGCAGTGTGTACTTGCACTCAGTGAAAACAGGTAAGTAATAACAGAACAGTACTAAATAAAAATAAGAACAAGACATGAACAGTGGAACGAGAACAGTCTATCCCCATAGATTGAATAAAGTGTTCAGTTCAGAATTCCCTATAGGCTACCTTTTTTTAATTTATACCTGAGGAATTCTGGAGGGCACAACAGCCAAAGCAATAAGATCAAGGTAATAATCTGAATATAAATAGCGTAAATACTATATAGACAAGTAATTTTTTTTGTTTTCATGTTTTGTTCCATTTGATCCAAAAACAATTAGAAGACTTTTTAGCAAATCTCTGTTATGAATTTAATGACTTTCTTTTTAACCAATCTGTATATTCCGATGCTTTCTTAAAACTTTGCAGAGGGACTGACCAAAGGCGTTTGAAACTCTTACTTCAATTGGTACTGTTCTATTAATTGTTGATATTTCATGAGTTTCCTATGCTCGTACGATGAAAAACTCCAAAGGTATGCAAAGTTCCCAAATGATAATTGACTTGGTTTCATTTCAATATAAGACCAGGACACAGTGTTGTTGAAACAAATGATTTTGTGGAAATCTGTTTGCTATGATCCAATTTCCCTTGTTTTGATTCTTGCAACAACAGTACCATCATTTATTTTTATAAAATTAACCATTGTCAACTATTGTTATTATGGCAAACATGGATAAACATGCCTTAAAATGGAATATCAAAAGGACAGTTTTTCCCCACGACACATTTTTCGGCAAACATGGATAAACGTTCCCATAATAAGACATAATGTCAAAAGGACGGTTTTTCCCATGACACCGATTTTTTTTTTTTTTTTTAACTACCTTCACTCCTCGGCAATGTTTATTGATTTTAAAATGGTGATTAGTAATTTAACTCCCATTTACTTGACTTCAGATGACAATTTAGAAATTATAAATATAGGAAAACATTTTTGGCAAACATGGTATTGAATGTAACCAGCCAATTTTTTTCCCCACTTGGAACTTAGTGCTAGACTGGAAAAGAGGTCAGATGCCAATCTCTGATCGACAAGAGATTTGGAGGTGTAACTGTATATTGTTATATCATTGGTATAGATGTTTACTAATGACCAGAGTATTTCTTAGGGAGATCATTTATGTAAATCAAAAAGAGGGTTTGTCTGAAAAGTGACCTCTGGTGGGAATGTCTGCATTGATAATTAGAGACAATACAGGCATTGCCACATAAGATTTCTTGCATTCTTATGGATTATAAAAAAGAAAATCCAGTATTGCATACCAATAGTCACAGGTTAGGTGATCAAACCTTCCTCCATGTAGACAAATAGACTGTTACATGATACTTAAAGAGAAGATGAGCATAAATAAATTTTATTGCATTCTTGAAGGCTATAAAAAGAGAAGTCCAGTATGATATACCAATGTCTGCAGGTGAGCATATAAACAACTTACTAAGTACATTAGTACAATTTAATTTATCACAAAATATTTGTTAAACCAAAATGTTAAATCAAAATAAGGCTCAAGAGCCATTCATGGAAGAGTTATTGAATGATGTGTATGCTATGAACATAAAAGAGGGTAGAAAGAAGTGATAATTATGAGGATAAGGAGGATAGATAACGATCGACCCTTGACATGAAGAGGTTAAGATTGTAGTGTAGACGGTTACTGTCAAAATGGTTATGATGAATGAGGTGCATGATAGGAATGAAAGAGGAGGTGGTAGGAAGTGAAGATTAAGAGGATAAGGAGGATAGATAATGACTATTGAATTGAAGAGGTTAAGATTGTAGTATTCAGGGAAGTATCCATGCGGGAATCTGTTCTACAAAGTCACAATTGTTTTGAATTTGGGTGATTCATTTCCATGGACATGGCATAGCAAGTCCTAGTGATAAAGGTCTCAACTGGTAAAACTCAAGAATGGAGTGCTCATCTGAACATTTGCCATGGAAATACCAATGGAGTTGCAACAGACTTGCAATGATGTGTGGAGAATGAGGCTGCAGAGTGGAAAATAAGTCATCTCCTGTGAAATTATGCAAATGATTTTCAAATCTGTCAAGGCTGATGAATGTGGAATGGACTGCTGTGCATCAGACATGGCAGCAAGTCGGCATCTTTGCATTACCATGAGTTAAAGTATAGCAGAATGAGCTGGATGTAAAAGTTTCATGAGGTCTCGACTGAACTTCAGTCCCAACAAATATTGAAATTGTGAAAACACATTGAGTGTGCAAATGTTTATGGCGGTGGTAGAAAACTTAGAGTTCATCTGGTGGTGGTAGAAAACTTAGAGTTCATCTGGTGGTGGGAGGAGGCCCCGGGTTTGACTGGTGGTGGGAGGAGACCCCGGGTTCGACTGGTGGTGGGAGGAGACCCGGCTTCGACTGGTGGTGGGAGGAAGCCCCGGCTTCGACTGGTGGTGGGAGGAAGCCCCCCTGGGTTCGACTAGTGGTGGGAGGAAGCCCCGGGTTCGACTGGTGCTGGGAGGAAGCCCCGGGTTCGACTGGTGCTGGGAGGAAGCCCCGGGTTCGACTGGTGCTGGGAGGAAGCCCCGGGTTCGACTGGTGCTGGGAGGAAGCCCTGGGTTCGACTGGTGGTGGAAGAAAGCTCAGGGTCTGACTGGTGGTGAGAGAAAGCTTAGAGTCCATCTTGTGGTCAGAGAAATATTATGGTCCAGCTGGTGGTGGGAGAAAGCTTTGGATCAAATTGGTGATAATAAAATATTACTTGATTTAAGAGATATTGAAAGTTATATCTAATTACATCTTAATTTTACCATTTTCAGTGCCAGGTTGATTATCTGTCATATAATATCATGCACCACTTCTTTAAAATTTTCCAAGTGACCTTGCCTAATTTCTAATTTATGAAAACCCTTAAAATGAATTGAACAAGTACACAAAAATAGAAAGAAGCATAAGTCAAAGATGGGTCTTCTGCCCAGATTTATTTAACCTATACAGCAAAGGCAATCCTATGATTAATTGATTTGTTTTTCTATGAATTATCAACCCTTTGCAGGTTATTTAAAACCAGGAAATATTTTTAGATTGTAAAAGTTTTTTACTTTTTGGGGGAGATAATAATGATTTCATGGTACAAGTCTTACTAATTAACCCATAGCTGGGAGGAAAACTGGAACTCCAATTTTCAATTCCAAGCCATTATCCATTACACCACTCACACATCCAAGCTTAGAGCACCTGATATTCCCAAGCAGTTGCCCATCTAGGTACTGACCAAGCTTGACATTGCTTAACTTTGGTGATTGTATGGGAACCAGTATTTCAATGTGATATGGCCATAAGCACGGACCTAAGAGAATTAGATGTCCTATCAGGATTTAATATTAGTGGGTACAATGTAAACAACATGCAGATGACACCATGTTGATAACAGACATAGAAAGAATGCTCCAGGAACTCCAAGACAAGGAAGTAAAGGAAAGCATGAAGAAAGGACTATCAATTGTAAGAAGACAGAATGTACAGTTATTAACAAAAGAAAGAGCCCAAGTTACAATTTGAAAATGTCAAAATCAAACAAGTAGGGAAATGTAAATATTTGGCAAGTATTTTCACAGAAGAGGAAAATATGATAAAGAAATCCAAAGGCACACTGGAACAGTGAAAGATGCCTTCCTGAAGCCAAAAAAAGTATTAAGAAACCGTAAAATTTCATTAGCAACAAAGAACTGCAATGTAATATCAATCTTCAGGGAATGCTGGACAATTTCTTTGCAACATGAAACTTGAGGCAACTGAGATGTTTTACAGAAGGATGCTGAAAATAACACGAGCTGAACAGGTGGTGAATTTTAAGTGTTGCTTAGATGTAGCACAAGGCAAAAAGTATGGAATAGCAAGTGAGGATCGAAGTCACTACTCAATAGTAATTGATATGACAAGTTTGTCGACCATTACACCACGTTAAAGTGCTCTTCATGGGCTTGATAGTAACAAGAACATTTTAAGGAAACCAAAACCAAAAAGGAGATTAATATTTAGAATGTGAAAGAGACTTAAAATTTCTAAGATACATAATGAAGAAATAGTTCTTGCCAAATTCGACACTCTTAGGATATACTGAAGGCAAGAGTGGTAAACACTAAACAACCAAATGAGGTTGTGTGAAAAGGATAGTAAAAAGACAAATATTGCTAAGAGCTACAAAGGATCGGAAGTTGTGGAGAGCCATGATCAAACTACCTAAGAAGCTTGTTTAAATGGATGGCAAAACAGAGAAGGACAGTAAAAAGACAAATATTGCTAAGAGCTACAAAGGATAAGAACTAGTGGAGAGCCATGATCACACAAGTCCTGAAGTGGCCATGATACATAAGAAAAAAATACCAGCAAGGTAGGCAAGCACATGCCAGGTAGATTCAATTAAAAAGAAATCCGACTATGTGAAATCTGGAGCATTTTCTTGGTCGATGTTAATTGCTGATTTGACATGGAAAGGTAATCTATCAACCTTTTGGTGAAATGTTCAAATCCCTAACCACTGAGCTACATCTGTTAATGTCAATTTACTTGCAGTATGTCATCGTTAATGTAGGTGTTGAACTTTTTCACTTTCTAAACATCTTATAAGTCCCCCATCACAATTCTAATCTTAGATATGTCCCTCCCACACACTATCAATCTCCACTTTATTAGAAACTTGCAATGTTAAGTAAGAAAACATAGATAAGAATTTCATTATCACAGGGACAGATACAGGAGGGTGCTAAAAAGTCTGGTACACTCCTGCCAAATTTTAACAAATTACCAAATTTTTTTTTTTGTTTTTTTTTTATTTTGTAAAGAGTTCCTGGTCACACCAAGTACTTTTACATGTATACAGGAAAATACAGTGTAACCCGGATATAAGAGAGTTGTCAGGACCGGAGAAGAAGTCTCTTATATCCGGGTTTCTCTTATATCCGGGTTTGGTCTATTTTATATACATTAACACAGGCTCTAATTTGGGACCAGAGAAAATCTCTCTTATATCCGTGGTTTCTCTTATATCTGGGTCTCTTATATCCGGGTTACACGCTGTATAATCAATAATTCTGTAGCCTTACACACTCATCAGATGAGTCTTAATCTGATATTTTCTTTGTATAATATTTGATCTGTATGACCAACATTTATTAGTAGAATTAAGTACATTAACACGGAAAGCTTAGGAAACTCATATTTTTTATCATAATGCTGTATTGATATGCACACACACACAAATATACAAGTCAATGCCATTAAGCTGGACACCAATAAATCACGATGTTGCTTAAGCTGCACATACACGATGGATTCCAAAGTTTTTTGTCATGTTCATATTAGAATCATAATCATCAGTGGATCCCAATAAAGTGTTATTAGAAACTTTATTTTTATTTTCCATTACTTACATGTAAATTTTTTAAAAATGTTGTTTTGTATTAATTTCGTAAAATTTCCATTGTATCATTATATTGCATAGAAACCTATGCTCATACATAGATGTTACTACATTGTATTGTTATATTATTTTTAATACAATACAAGACAATGTATTGTAATATTGTTATTCAAAATCTTGATAAAAAAATTAATTAAAATGTTAAAATCTCGTGCATATAAGATTTCAGCCATCTTTTGCCATCATCGATGATGAATCTATTGACATGTTGCTTTGTAACTGGAATAATTTTAACCCGTCGTCTTTCAAATTTATTCACATTGGTGCAGATTTTTATGTGAAATTAAAGGATGGTTTTAATAAATGTTTTTCAAAGTCGCCAATCTTCAACTGTTAGTATTGAATACGTACTTAACAAGCTTCGTTTTGGTGGTCTAAGCTGGCAATCCTGACATCACAGCTCACTTTTGATCTGAACCACGGACCATCTAAACCACAGATAGAAGTTTTGGACCCCAACAACTGGCGCATGGTGGAGTAATGGAAAGTGGCAATCAGAGAGCTGAGTTCGAATTCCACTCAAATCCATTACATTCACTTACGTGCTAATACACTTGAGAAAGGTATGAATCCTCTACTTATCTCTCCAGCTATGGGTAAATAGCAGGACAGACTGGGTTCTATAGCCTTGGATGGCTACTGGTCTAGGAGAAGGACAACTCTGAATTTAAAACCTGCGGAGGGTTGTTTGGGGACCTTGTATCATGTAGTGCACCAGGTCTCTGTATTTGGCCCTTCAAAAAGTGTGGATGGTTCTGCACAAAACCTTCACCATTATAATCAAATCTCATGTGCTGGTGTCAAGCTGTCAGTTCCTAGGAACTGATCTGGTTGACCCTCATACATCGAATACGATGGGAGAGTTGAATATATATATATATATATATATCATGCACTCCAAGATATTGTTTCCTATTGATGTAATGAATATGCATACACCTCGGTTCCCCCTCATAGTAATATGATTGGCTGGTGTCAGCCATAAATACAGACTAATGTGGAGGTACAGATATGATGCCTATAGTCTTCACCTATTGCCTACCACTATGACAAGGACCAGTCCATTACGGTTACCTGCTAGATTGTCCTACTCGGTTACAGTAGTCCAAAACCACTTTGCTACTTCGAACAACATATATCCCTTTCCAGGACATATCACCTGTATTTGCTAATATTTGTCTTATGACAATAGTTGTATTTTGGTCATTCATGATGTGCTGGTCGATATATGCATGGATGATACATGGCCTTTTTCAGGTGGTAAAAATCTTTTTTTTATTTTGCATTAACAGTTGACGTAATATTTACGATTAGTGTTTTAGCACCTTTTTTCTGGTGAAAAACACATTGATTTGGAAATTCTTGCAAAAATCAAATAATTGTCAGATCTTAATGAAACTTTCAGAATTCATTCAGAAATTAATCAATTTTTTTTTTTCAAACTGCTACTCATTTCCTGAAAAATCTGCTCTGAATTGCAAAATAAAAAATGCAATAAAACTCATATTTAATTAGAAAAGCTTTTCATTGCTTTCATAAAGAAGATTTATTAAGGACACTATTGTCTTATGAAAATTTTTTTTGATGAATAATGAATTTTTACAAGAATTGTTCCATTTTTAAAAAATTTTAACTATGATAATTTATTATAATAATTCTTAAAAGATGTTTTAAAATTCTACATTAGTTTAATTTCGTTAGGTGATATTGTTGATAACTGAAAACTATATTTACTAATCAAAAATGGGAAAGTTTAATACAAATCATTTTGCACCAAGATTTTTAAAATAATTTTTAATTTCTTTTTATATACATAAAATATTATGTAATGTGTGCATTTTTGAAAGTATGGTCAACCATACACAACATTATCAGAAAATAAGAGCGATGACTATAGTAAATTTAAAGTAAACATTTCTAAAATTAGATTCTGGAAAATATTTTCCAACATTTTTAAGATCACTGAATACTTAAAAGTTATATAAAAAAGATGTTCATGTCATTTTCTTATGTTTATAGATAAAGTCTCTGTAGAACAACAATCAATATGTCATCACTTGTTATCACCTCATCAATCATGTAAAATATGGTGATGTTGGTTAAAAACACAGCTACTGTTTATTTTAAAAATACATTTCTGTCTTATTTTCAACTTAAAGTAAATAATATTTGTTTCAAATCAGATTAATCCTACATTAAATTAGCAAATATTCCTTAAATAAAGTTTCTGAAAAGTATATTTTATTTTTGGAAAGTTTTTTAATACAGAGAATTACATTGCAATGAAAGACGACTAAAATAAAAAGGGTACTAATCAGCTACATGTGTGTGTGTATATATATATATATATATATATATATATATATATATATATATATAAAATCAATTCCAATCAATATAATTTCAGTTTGAAATGCACCAGAGTACTTTTGTTTACGGAAATAGAAAATTTAATCCGAAAGCTAAAATGAAAGCTTCAAAAAAGCTTTGACATTTATAAAAGTTCATTCTAAACCTTACGTATGATGAATTAGTGGAAGCACCATTTGCAAACAAGATCTTTCAGCAAACCCAACATGAAAATGTCTGGTGGTTTTAGGTCTGCTGATAATAATGTCCACTTAATTGCTCCACATCATCCTATCGACATCAGCTCAAAAATAAAAAAAAATGATGGTTTTACTTTTGTTGTACCCTCTCTCACTATATATATATATATATATATATATATATATATAAATAAAAAGAAAAAACAGTAAGATATATAATCCGGTGTTCTTGTTATTTTTTACAAACAGTGCTCAATGCAAATTTACAGAGCATAAATATTATAAATTAACTGATTTAAAATGTTTTTTT